TCCATGATTCTTCAAGGATTTGTCTTTCTCTGTTTGACTATACTTTCAGGGATCATTTCTACGGTTTGTCTTTCTCTGCTTGTATCCTGTGGGGAAAGATTTACCTCTCTGCCTCAAAGGCTTACACTGGGCAGGATCTCAGATCTATGATCATTTTCAGAGAACTGTGTACACAGGAAAAGTTTGAGCAATGTTCTCTTCAATGCTGCCCTGCCAAAACTTAATTTTGACATCTTACCACATAAAAGTTTTCTTTAACTGACATAAAATTTACCATAAAAATTACCATCTTTGGCGCGCCTGGGCGGCACAGTCAGTTAAGCGTCCAACTCTTCGTTTTGGCTCAGGTCATGATCTCAGGGGTGTGCGATCAAGCCCCATAGCCACTCCGCACTCAGCACAGAGTCTGCTTAAGATTCTGTCTCCCTGGGCACCTGGGTGGCTCAGTCGGTTAAGTGTCTGCCTTCGGCGGCGCGAGTCATGATCCCAGGGTCCTGGGATGAGTCCTGCATCCGGCTCCCTGCTCAATGGGGAGTCTGCTTCTCCCTCTACCCTCCCTCCCGACTCGTGATATCTCTCTCTCTCTCACTCTCTGTCTCTCAAATAAATAAAATCTTTAAAAAAAAAGAATATTCTCCCTCTCCCTCTGCCCCTCCCCTTCCTCTCTTTAAAATAAATAAATAAATCTTTTTAAAAAATTACCATCTTAGCCATTTTTTTAGGGTACAGTTCAGTAGTGTTGAGTACATTCACATTGTTGTGCAATCTCCAGAACTCATTTCATTTTGTAAAACTGAAACTCTACCCATTAAACAGCAACTCCCCTGTGTCCTCCCCACCCCCAGCCCCTGGCAGCCACTGGTCTACTTTCAGTCTTTATGAATTTGACTACCCTAGGTACCTCACATAACTGGAGTCACACAATAGTTGTCTTTTTGTCATTGGTCTCTTTTGCTTAGCATAATGTTTTCAGGTTTCATCCTCTTTCTAGCATGTGTCAGAATTTCCTTCCTTTCTAAGACTGAATAATATTCCACTGTATGCGTGTATTTCATTTTGTTTATTTATTCATCCATCAGTTTTGGCTCTTGTGAATAATACTGCTATGAACATGGGTGTATAAATGCCTCTTTGGGACCCTGTTTTCACTTCTTTTGGATATATACCCAGAAGCTGGATTGCTGGATCATATGGTAATTCCATTTTTTAATTTGTTTAAGGAATTGCCATATTGTTACATAAAAGTTTTAGAGGATAACAAAATCTCTCAGAAATGATGAATGGAAACTTGGGCTAAAGTGATGCAAGATAAGGAGCGCCTGGGTGGCTCACTCAGTTAAGTGTCCGACTCTTGATTTCAGTTCAGGTCATGATCTCAGGGTTGTGGGCTCGAGACCCACATCGGGCTCCCCTCTAGGCATGGTGCCTGCTTGGGATTCTCCCTCTCCCTCTGCCCCTCCCCCCCCGACTTGCATGCACATGTGCTCTCTCTCTGTGTCTCTCAAAAAAAAAAAAAAATTCATGCAAGATGATAAGTCTGGAATCTTTAAAATTTATCTTCAATATTTTCTTTGTTCTTAGATTTTCCATAAGTCTGCCTCTTTCCTTTCATTTCAGTCTACAGAGTGAAGATTATGTTCTTTTTCATGTGCCTGAAGCCTATGGTAACGATCTCAGTTTATTAGAGAGTGTCTTTGGGATCAACAACTGAGGACGAAAGGGGAAGGAAGTAAAATTGAGTAGAAGGAGAAGCTGAGTTGCCATGCAGGCCTGATGACAGCCACTTTCCAATCCACAGGGAAGTGTAGAACTAAGATGGCTCATCAAGTAATTCGATGTTTGACCAAAACAGCAGTCTTTATACCCTTCTTGGTCATTGGATAGGGGCTGCCTGAGAAGAACATGACCTTGAGCTAGGCTCAAGAGAGTTAGGCTCTCTGCAGTTGAGATAATCTCCGAAACCTGTAGCTGTCGGTCACATTTCCAATAGCTGGGGCCATAAATCCATCTTCGAAGGGAGGTCTGAGCAGCATACCACCACATCCATCACAGTAGTTTTTGTGAAAGCCTGCTGAGGGAAGTTTCAGAAGCACAGAAAATCATGGGCCACAGGCACCAGTGAGAATGTGGCCGTGCAGTGCAAATAGAAGCTGTGTCCTTCACTGTAAGAGAGTCTATGTGTGGTGGCGAAGAGGATGGACTCTAGAGCCAGAATAGCTGGTTTGAATCCTTGGTCCTATACTTCCCAGAGAGGTGAACTTGGTCAGGTTACTCGTCCTCCCTGTGCTTCAGTTTCCTCCTGGGACTAGGGGTCCTAATAGAATCTATCTCATATACGTATTATAAGAATTAAATGAGTTAATGTGTATAAAGTGCTTAGGATAATGTCATGCCCAGAACAACTGTTATTATAACGTATTATAGATATATAAAGTTTTATAAAAAGCTTTGAGTGACCACAAGGGTTTTAGAACCAACAGAAACAGTGGGAAAGGAAGTTGAGAGATTCAGAGGGCTGGTAAAAAGAGTAACAAAAACGAGCAAGGAAGAACAAGAGGTTGAGAAAGGAGATACACCAAGAAAATAATAAAAATGGGAAAAAATTGTCCAATTGAATATTAAATCAAAGGGCAACAAAATAAACAGTTTGAGAACATGACCGGGGAGTTGGTTCTCTGAATACTCTGAATATTTAAAGGATCTTACTTTCAGCAAAATTGCTTCTGATTCCCACTCCCTCTTTCCAATCATCCCACCATACTTTACCTTCCTCCTAGTCACTTTTCAAGTCCCAACCCCCTCCTGACCAATTATGAGGAACAGTCACTGTAGGAATATTTCTAATGCAAACATAGTACACTCTATTAATAGAATGTGAATGTTGCCATGAAGCAGGTCAAGCAAAAGATGAGACAAGATCAACACACGAAAGATGAGTATAAGCACATCATTCCATCACGTGGTGGCTAAAGGCAAAACAAATGTACTGTAAGAGAGAATGGAATTTGAACCCATGATCATAGGGGCACCTGGCTGGCTCACTCAGTGGAGCATGCAACACATGATCTCAGGGTTGTGAGTTTGAACCCCATGTTGGGTGTAGAGATTACTCAAAAATAAAATCTTAATGGGTGCCTGAGTGGCTCAGTTGGTTAAGTGTCTGCCTTCGGCTCAGGTCATGATCCCAGGGTCCTGGGATCGAGTCCCACGTCGGACTGCCTGCTTGGCAGAGAGCCTGCTTCTCCCTCTCCCTCTGCTCATCCTGCTTGTGTTCTCTATGTCTCTCTCTCTCCCTCTCTCTCTCTCTCAAATAAATAAAATTAAAAATAATAATAAAATAAAATCTTAAAATAAAAATAAACCCACAAGCATAATGTTAGGGAAATAGACACTCCAATCCCTTTCACACCGTGCCATCAAGTAACCCAGAGGAGAAGCTGTACCTAGTAGGAGCATAATAGAACTGCCAATAGCACACAGAATCTCTCTTGATTCTGTGACAAACTGAAGACTGATGAAGTATATAAAAATCACACATTTTTCAAGCTAGAACATATAAAAAAAGAGTACCTTGTGTACTTAACTGAAAATGATCTTTAATTGTTCTGACTCAGTGACAGTCCTGTCACTGTCTCATCCATGTGGCTGGAACTCTCTTCCCCAAACATTTCGGTCCTACTATGCTTATGCAGAAGACTGTGGGATTACATAGAGCTAACCCCACCCAAACCTCTGAGAAGAGAGTTCTCTTTGTTAAGTATGGTCTGAGTTTTAGGCCAATTATTTGCACTTTTCGTGTGTGTATGATTCTGTGTTGTATTGGATACTAGATTTCTCTCCTGACTTCCCAGCATAACAGCACATCTTTGAAAAGTGGCCAAGCTCCTGAGAAAACTCAGAATCAAAAGACAGGAGCAGGAACGGATCCCCAAGTTCAGAGCTCCATCTTCAGCTGCTCTACCAACAATGGAAGTATTATTCTCATCTCTCCATCAGCAGGATCCATTGTTCTCTGGTTACAACAGGAGTGAGATAAATAGCAGCTGTAAGCCCCTGCCCTTCCTCCTCCAGGTCTGGGTACTGAATGTGAGAAGCCTGGCATTAGTGCAAAGGGTTCTGACAGTTCTCGAAAGACAGAGCTGATGAAGATGTGGGCATAAAATTCACTCTTTAAAACCATATATTATCTGCAAGGAGACAGTAGGAGAAGGCTGAGATGTTACAAAACTATCATCACTAATATTTTCCTATATGCTGCACATGAAATAACTAGAGAAACAACACAGTTTTGCCTGTAATTCATATACATATATTTGCATTTGCCAAGCCTTACATAGTCTTCGAGCCAATTTTCAAGCTTTTCTCCATCTTTTCTTGCCTTGATTTTTATGATTCCTTCCTGCACCTTACCACCTCAGATTCCTTACAATACACACTCAATTCTCAGTTTTCATGGTAGTTATGTTCTATGAAGTCATTGTGAACGCTGAATTAGTGAATACTGAACCATTGCTCCTAGGGGAAATACAGGGTTCGGTTCCTACAAGTCTCTAGTCACAACATTTGCACTAACTGATCATTCATGTGTGTTTCTGTTTAAAGACATCTTATCTAATATATATTATTGATTCATTAACATTGAGCTTACAGCCAACAGCCACTATAATTCATGCCTGAATAAAGCTTATCTAATACATTTTTTCTCTGTAAGGCAAGTCATAGTCTTCTTGCACTTAAAAACACTAGACAGCACTTCAGCACTATACTTGCAGGTCTTTTAAAACAACAAAATCACCAACAAAGGGTACAGAACTGTGAAAAACATGGCACTACATGGACCTTGAATAGGACATTTATTTACAGAATGAGAGCTGAAACAAGAAGGCGGAACTTCACATCGTTTGACCTCAGTTGGGAACACGCATGTGCTTCAGGCAGCTCACGTTTTTCACAGCTCTACATATGCATACATATGAACTCAAAAGCATTGCTAGAGGGGCACCTGGCTGGCTCAGTCGGTAGAGCATGCGACTCTTGATTGCAAGGTCATGAGTTCAAGCCCCATGTTGGGTGTGGAGCCTATTAAAAAAAAAAGAAAAAGCATTGCTAGATTGATTTTGGGGATTACAGATCAATTTTAGCAGATAGACAAATTCACAAGGACACAATCCTGTAACTGTACACATTAGTGAATGAGAATGTTTTGTTGGTGAAATCTTGCCATGGAATCAGATATCAAGAAAACATGGTTCTTTAAGCTTTCCGACTATGGAGAATTCTAAGTCCACTTTGGGATGTGTCAGCCTTCCTATAGAAGAATGACACTGGCACATTCCCTAACTCCTGTCATGAAAACATATACTGGGAGATGTTTTTCCACTATTGGACATGTATTAGCTCTAAGCCAATGATTCTCAAGTACTGCCCCGGATGGACTGGCAGCAGCAGCATCTCCTGGGAATTGGTTAGAAACGAAAATTCTTGGGCCCCACTCCAAATGTGCAAAATTGGAATCTCTGGGGGAGAGGTCTAGCAATCAGGGTTTTAAAAGTCCCTCCAGAAGACTCAGCTGCACCCTCGAGTTTGAGAGTGCTGCTCTAAGTCTTGCAGTTTATATGGTCCGCCCCCCCTCCCCCACCCCCACCCCCACCTCTCCACGAGGTAATGGCCCATTGTCCTTTGGTATAGAAAGAGCCAGGGCTTGATAGTCAGAAGAACTGGGGTCAAATACCACTTCTGCCTTTTATTGTGGGGAAACCTGAATTTACTTAAATACTCTGCCCCTCTAGTTTCCTCATCTGCAAAAATGTAGAGATTAAAAGAAACAGTAGTAGATGAAAAAGTGCTTAGCACACAAAAGGCCCTCAGTAGACATCAGCATTCTTTTATTTCACTCCCTTTATTATTCATTCCTGAATAAGACAAGAATGGTGAAGAAAAAAAAAAATCCCAGAGAGACAGTTTTCTTTCTTTAGAATAGAGTAGAGCTTGGGGTTTTATCTCAGAGAAAACAATGATCATTTTCACCATGCTCTGTCCTCCATCTCTCCCCCCTCCCTCCCCGCCAAAAGCTGGTACTCTGGTCTCAGTGTAGCCACAGTGGGGGAAACTCACTAAAGTCCTTCAAAGAGAACCCGGACGATTTCACTGAGTGTCTGTACCTTGATATACATTTAAAAAGTAAGTCGTCTGGACTCATTCCATTCTATTTTACTTCTATCTTCTACTTCCATCCGGAGACTTTTTGTTCTACTCTTCCTTTAGCCTAAGACACAAAGATTTCCACTCAGTTGGCTTGGTAGGATCCTTTGAAGACTTTCTTTGAAAAACGGATGAGTATGGGCTACTGCCAACTAGACTCCCGACTTTCCCCAGATACAGCTGAGGGACCACTCATGGTTCAACCTGCCAGCCCTTCATCTTGAATCATGCAGTCATTAAAATCAAAACAGAGCCCAGCAAATTGTTGTGTTCAGAGATTGTAATTCTGCATATTGGGAGAATTTTTTCTTTGAAATTGCCTGTTTCGCTTCCTCCCTAGAATTGTAGTTCATCTTCTTTGGCTGCCGGCAGTGACATTATCTTCCTGTCGTTAAGGTCTACTGGAGTCATCTTGTAGACCTGCAGTTGTTGCCAATGGATAAAAGAGTTGTCCCAATCTTGAGTCCCTTCCCCTGAGCAATTGGTAATGTTCAATGGGTTCATCAGCATTTACGATGAGGAAGAGAAAGCACCAATCCTGGAATTTTAATGGGAAAAACCAAGAAGAATTTAATGGGAAAAACCAATTGCTCTGTTCTATGTCAGGGAAATTCCTTAATATGGGTTTCAAAACACCTCATCAGCCTTCCTCCACTCCAACCCACCTTAACTTTTTTAATACTCAACTCAGACTCTTGTTTCAGCTAGACAAACCTGAATGCCATTTCCTTCCCTGTGAAATTTTCTTCTTTGAAAAACAGAGCTGGAAGAAGTTGAGATCCAGAAAAGAGAAATGATTTATCCAGATCATAGTTGGTCCAGGGCTTTTTACCCAGGATTATACTTCCCATTCCTACTCCTAAGCCATTATCCTAGTCATTCCTTGTTACCCCAAACCTTGCTTTTTCCTTTCTACCAAAACCTGTGTTCAAACATTTCAACTCTTTCTGAAAATTTATCTTCTCTAAGAACCTAAATCTTTCTGGTCTTCATCTGGCTCTAGTCACACCATTTCCTCCAAGATTTTTTTTCTCCTCCAGGTATAGGATTATAGACTGTAGGGCCATAGAAATTTCTGACTTAGATGGCCATCCTAGTTTTTATAGATAAGGACCCAAACTAGCTCAGTCATTAGTCTGAGATTACTAAGCTAAAGAACAAAGCCAAGTCTTTGAGTCCTTAGTTCAAAAGTCTTCTTTACTACATGATAATATCTATTTGTGCTTCTTCTCTCTATCCATATTCTTATGTCTTTTCATGAGGTTCATACTTCTGATTTCTTTTGTCACCATTACTATCACCATAATCATAATCGTCATCACTCAACAGGCCCCCAGAACTCCTCACACAGTGCCAGTGGGTACTCTATACCAAGTACTGATTGTCCACCTCCTTAACTCTTTTTCCTTATATCCCAGATGATCACAGCTTTATCACCTTGTGAGTGTCCATCACCCACAAGCCTCCAGGAAACCAGAGTTGGTACAATGAAAGAAACATTGCTACTGATGCAGGAAATCCACTTGTTTCTTGGAAACACCAAGTATCAAAATAGAACTAGCTGAACTAAAAGAGCGGCAAAGATGGGGACCACAGGAAATATAATTTCATGGATGTTGACCCAAGTCTTGTCTATTAGCATTCACAGGACCCGATGCCAACTAGTGCAGAGATGCTGGATTTCAGAAGAGCCCCTGATACCTTGGCAGCAATGAATACACTGGACACAGTGGACGACAATGAATTCCTGATTCAAGCTGAGCTGACCCGATTCTCTTATGGCAATTTTTTTTAAAGATTTTATTTATTTATTGACAGATAGAGATACAGTGAGAGAGGGAACACAAGCAGGGGAGGTGGGAGAGAGAGAAACAGGCTTCCCGCGGAGCAGGGAGCCCGATGCGGGGCTCGATCCCAGGACCCTGGAATCATGACCTGAGCCGAAGGCAGACGCTTAACGACTGAGCCACCCAGGCACCCCATTATGGCAATTTTTTAAAAAGATTTTATTTATTTATTTGAGAGAGAGAGAGAAAGTGAAAGAGATCACAGAGGGAGAAGGAGAAGCAGACTCACCGCTGAGCAGAGAGTCCAATGCAGGGCTCAATTCCAGGACCCTGAGATCATGATCTGAGCCAAAGGCAGACACTTAACCGACTGAGCCACCCAGGCGCCCTTCTTGTGGCAATTTATAATTAAGACCTAGAATTACTGGTACTTGTCCTTTAGGAGCCAGAATTGTGAAGGATATAAGGCTAGAGCCCAGAGGGTCATGGCTGATGATGCTCTGAAAGAGAGGGGATGAAGCAGAATCTCAGGGAAGCAAAGATGAGACCCTCACAGAGACAGACAGCAGTCTTGGGTCCTGATCATCACTCCTGCTTCCATTTCTTTGTGGTCTCTAAGAAACCCAGTCAATCCACCAAACCCTTTCTGCTTATACTTCTTCCTCTTTTTCCCCTTGGCTTGAACCAGTTGAGTGGGTTTCTTTTGCAACCAAGAAGTGTTAACTAAAGGCTTCTTCATAGAGACAACTGCACATAGTTGGGAGACCTGCCAGGCACCTGCACGTAGTTGGGAGGTCAGGGAGAGGGTTGCCAAGGATTCGAAGGCATTGTTTCCTTCTCTGTAGGAGGCAGTACTTGTCAGTGTGTGATTTTCTGTGATTCAGATCGCACAATCATAGATATTTTCCTTGACCCCACCCCCACCCCCACCCAGGTAAACACAGCAACCATCGCCATCCTTCAGCATTCACGGAACATCATTCCCTTGCTTGCACTTCCTTCTGAAGAACCTCCAGGACACTTTTGTTTGGGTGGAGACAGAAACAAGCTCAAAGCCCTGTTGCAGTGAATCCCACTGATTTTTGGCTTTTTGCCTCTAATGTTTCTGTTGGGAGGTAGAAGGGGATATTGCAGAGATTCTCCAACTTCAGTCAGTAGAACACTACCCTTATGATTTCTGACATTTCCACATACCACCTATCATATTAATATTTTAAAAAATATACTTTTTAAACTTTTTTGCTTATCCTCACCTATAATATTCATTAAAGATACCATGGGTTTGCTATGCATATTGTATTTTTCTAATATACATTAAAATGCAAAAATATTGCAATAAAAAATATCTTTTAGTACCCAAGATCATCTCATGTGCGCCACTTAAAGAGACATGAGTGGAGCATGGGCTCTGGAGTCAGACAGGCCTGTGTCAGGTCTTAGCTGGGCCGCTCAATACCTGTATGACCTTAGGGCGCCTGGGTGGCTCAGTTGGTTAAGCGACTGCCTTCGGCTCGGGTCATGATCCTGGAGTCCTGGGATCGAGTCCCACATCGGGCTCCCTGCTCGGCAGGGAGTCTGCTTCTCCCTCTGACCCTCTTCCCTCTCGTGCTCTCTCTCTCTCATTCTCTCTCTCTTAAATAAATAAACAAAATCTTTAAAAAAAAAAATACCTGTATGACCTTGAACAAGTCACTTAATCTTTCTAAACTTCAATTTTGTCATAATGAATATGTCATCATCAGGATTTTGGTATGGATTAAATGGGATAAGTTTAAATATAGTTGGTTTCAACTGCGTAGCACAATACCTAGCACATGGTTAAGTACTCAACAGATGTTAATCTTCTTGCTGTTGCCATACCCTCTATTTCTTGACTTTATCTACCCCCCTTTACTTCCCCCTTCTTCTCTCCTCCATATATGTTTGAAACAGGCACCAGCATGAAATGGGTTTGCTTGCTAAAGTGTATGGAATTTCTATAAATCCTTTCAGAGACCAGGATGGAAAGCTAAGTGTGAAGCATCTGCTAGGTCCAGATTTGTTGTATCTAATGATCTGACTTGTTATCCTGTTGTGCTGATGTGG